AGAAGAAGAAGAAGAAGAAGAAGAAGAAGAAGAAGAAGAAGAAGAAGAAGAAGAAGAAGAAGAAGAAGAAGAAGAAGAAGAAGAAGAAGAAGAAGAAGAAGAAGAAGAAGAAGAAGAAGAAGAAGAAGAAGAAGAAGAAGAAGAAGAAGAAGAAGAAGAAGAAGAAGAAGAAGAAGAAGAAGAAGAAGAAGAAGAAGAAGAAGAAGAAGAAGAAGAAGAAGAAGAAGAAGAAGAAGAAGAAGAAGAAGAAGAAGAAGAAGAAGAAGAAGAAGAAGAAGAAGAAGAAGAAGAAGAAGAAGAAGAAGAAGAAGAAGAAGAAGAAGAAGAAGAAGAAGAAGAAGAAGAAGAAGAAGAAGAAGAAGAAGAAGAAGAAGAAGAAGAAGAAGAAGAAGAAGAAGAAGAAGAAGAAGAAGAAGAAGAAGAAGAAGAAGAAGAAGAAGATAGACCTTTGCAAACTTAACAACAAAGCTCCCAGCGCGTGGACATGGAGAAGGTTTATCACCCACAACAGAAGAATACAGAAACTAGAATTGGAAAGACATAGAGAGAACATCCTTAGCGGCAGAGTACACAAGCTGAAGAAGTGGGTACTGGGGAATGGATTAGGAAACCTATCTTTTAAGGTCTTTTTTTTATAAAAGTTGTTTTCAGCTCATTTGTTGGGCCTTATTGTGTACTTGTTTGTCATTTTTTTATTTTTTGTATCATTGGCTCATTAGGAACTCATGCAAACAAATTTTTAATTCAATAATAAAAGGACCCGAGGTCCTAAAATTAGCTTAAAAAATCTTAGTTCTTTGTAAATCCAAATAATAAAGGTATAAAATGGGTTAACAAAAACCTCAACCTAAAGAAGTTTAATCTAGGAGTTGGAGATTTGGTATTAGACATACAATTACTTCAAATTAATTCCCCCAATACTCAAATTAATGTCTAACTTGTGAAGTCTTTTGTAGCAAACCAGGATGAAATCATACGCATCATCCCCCTTATAATCATGAAGCACTAGACGCTTAAGTTTCAAGAACTTAGTCAGCATCTCATGCTTTTTTCTAGTCATCACAAGGACAAGAAACAAAAAAAACAAAGTGCTAGCCCTCTCATCCATATCCACCTTGGGAATAGTGGAAGCAATAATCTGAGTAACCAAAACCTAAGCAGTTTGAACCGTGAGAGTGGCTCTAGTACCTGCCAACCCACTCAGAAAAGTGAGTACCTTTTAGACAGTCTCTGTATACATAGGGGGAAACATGTTACCCTAGTATGTGTCCTTGCCTCGAGCTTAACCTCATCCTTGATATTGATCTCAACCTTTTCCTTAATAACTGTATCTTGGGGTGTGGATGGGGATGGGGTTGCTTATATACCTTGGCACTTCCACATTCTGAGCTACACCCCTAGCGGGTGTTTCCCTTCTCTGCCCCTCCCTTTACCTCTCCCTCGGTCACTCCCTTTAGCTGTGGACTTAATCGCTGGCTCTGGTGTTTGAGCCATCACTCTCGTGCCATTACGTCTAGTGTTAACAATTTGCGGACATAAGTAAGATCACAGTGCTAGTACATCATACACATATAAAAAATTCATAACTAAATAGAATCACAAGGAACTATGCAATCTAGCAACAAACACTAGTCACACTTATTCTCTCAGTGACATGACATGAAAACCACAACAACAATTAACCAATGCATGACATGTTTCACATGATCATAATGCTAGTACCGGTCCTCTCGTGGAACCTCAAACCAAACTGTAATATCATATTGGGAGTGGTATCCGAGCCAACCAACAATATCTAACCTGTACCGGTGTGGTACCGAGCCAACCAACAAGTACAATAAGCATGAATAATCATATTACACCACAACATGCATCAACTCACAACACAATGAACACGACTACTTGAACCCGCTAGTTACAATTACAAATTCATTTCACAACATGACTCGACAAGTAATAAACATGCAAATATACATATCCCAGAAGCATATAACCATCACCTACCTATAATCAAGCCCCTTGGAAACTCTAAATAACCAGAGCTTTTCCCATACAAAGTGCCTTGGCTTGTTCTTGGTCTAAAATAAACAATATGACATTCAATAAAACACAAATGACCTATTAATTTACCCATATTACTAGAAAATTCAAACCCCTGTAAAAATGAGATCATATTCCCCAACTAGGTCTCCTTCCCACCATGGATTCATGCTCAATAAATGTCCCCAATGTTAATCACCTAGTTTCTAAGGCTTAAGAAACATTTAACAAGATCGGGGAGTCGAATTCTTACCTTAACCGGTGATTTTCGTGGGAAAATTTATGCATGCTCCTAAAATCGTCCCTCTCTTCTTCAAGAACTCAAATTGCAAAAAAAAAGGGGTTTTGGGCCTTTTTCTTCATAAAATCACGATTCTCTCACTATAGCAGTGTCAACCTCGCTATAGCAACAACTTACCTCTCTATAGCGGTCTAAGCACCGCTATAGTAAGAAGTTGTCTGCTATAGTGAGGTCGGCGGATTTCCAGTGGCTCAACATTTGAAAAAAGCCCTTTTTACAACACAAACTCTTCTTTTAACGTCCCGACTCATACCTTTCACGCCAATTTAAATTTTGGGAGTTCTACTTACCCTAATTCAATTCCGAAAGGCCTTATGCATTCTTTAATGTCTTGGTTACAAGCATAAAATCATTCAAATCTAAATAAAAGGCCCCATCTTTTCTCAGATGGCCCTAGAAATCATTTAGCCTAGATTCCATCTAAGCCTAGTCTAGCAAAGAATTTTCAAGTTATTACCCGAAAAGTTTTCTACCCGAGGAGGAGGAGGAGGAGGAGAAGGAGAAGAAGGTGAAGAAGAAGAAGAAGAAGACGGGCCAAACTCGGTAAGGAAAATGGGAATTTTCGCAAATAGTCACTATAATAAACTTAGTTATGCTCCATAGCAATAGTTTGAATCATTACAGGTTGTAGGTACAATTTAAATTGTCTCGTTCGTATAATTTGTGAGTGAGTTTGTATAATCCGCAGGTACTTTTGTATAATTGAGTTATTTTTTTACAAACTCAAAATAACGAATTTATACAAACACAAACATTTGAACTTTAAACATTTATACAAATTATATTATACAAAATTACACTATACAAAAGTTATACAAATTATATTATACAAATTTCGAAGTTTACAAACGTGCAAATTATACAAACTCGAAACCTCAGTCCATGTGATTATCACTAAATGGTTGTTGCGAGTGGTAGTTAACTCAAACAATAACTATGATGACTAATTAACTAGTATACATTTGCTTAACCATATAATTTCCCAGAGGAAAAAAGTAGTGAATGGCCACTTATGGTAATAAATAAATAAAAATTAAGTTAACTATTTTTTTGTTTGTGTGAGCAATATGACTTAATGGACATTTTTTTTAATTTTCCCTTAGTTATATCTACAAAATTTAAAAGAGGAACTACTATCACAAGAAATTCATAACATATTATCACTACAAGAAAAAAGGCATTTCCCAACAATTAGTTTTGTTGCTATATATAGGATGTTGTTGCAAAAAGAACTTTTGGCAACAATATAAAAGTTGTTACATATTGTTGCAATAAACGCTAATGCGAAAAGTTTTTGCAACAACAAAATATATTGATGCCAAAAACTAACTTATTGCAACCAAAATAATTGTTGCCTTACATTAATATAGTTGTGGCTCATAAAAAATTTCGCAACAAAATTTAGTGTTGCCACAAATTAACTTTTTTTACCAACAATATCAGTTGTAAAAAATTGACAAAAAGTTAGTTAGTAATGTTTTGGGAAGGCTTTTAGCAACAATAAATTTTATTGTAATAAACATATTTATTATATACCTTTAGTGTGAGTTGTTGCTACATACATAATACACATTTTCTTTTTAGAAATTCTATAAAAATATTTCTACACTTTTAGCAACAATTTGTGAATAGCTGCTATATACACAATACACTTTTCTTTTAGAAAATTTTCACAAATATTTATATTAAGAATTATATAAATTTGCAAATATCAATATAAGATTGATATTCCAAAGAACTAAATACTTCTACATATGTTTGTACTTGTAAGAAAAAATAATAAGCAAGTCACTAATTATATTCTAATCCTACTAGTTATAACTTTTGAATAATCCGATCTTCCAATAGTACTTGTATTGAAGCAATGGTTCAATTATGCATGTTCATCCTGCAAATAAAAGATAAATATAATTATAATTTGACAAAGTAAGTTATAAAATACACAAATATAAATCTAAAAAGCAGAGATATTCGCATGAATGCACTCACTAATACACCCAAACATACTTTAACCCTCCTGATAAATCTCCTTTTCATTTGAAAATGACCAAAATCAGAAGCACTATAAATTATGTACAGAAGAGAGAGTGAGATGTTCCAGATTTGGCAAAGGATCATCTGTTCACTTCCTTCAACCCCAAGAATGTCAAAAAAACAAAAGGAAGTAAAACGTATAATCTTAATCTCCTGGAATAATTTTGTGAAATAAACTTTTTAAACAGTTTCCAGCTTCCTGGAGACTTCCCTTTTCCCTTCTTATCAAACCTGACCAAGAACATTGATTGAGTTTAAAAAGAGATAATAGCTGAATATGAAATCACAAGAACTCTCTATGTGTAGTGATTTTAATCCATCAAAACTCTTCTTGTTCACAATCAACTTCCTACTGGCATACTACTCTCCAAATTAGATGCAGACAAAATCTCATCAAAACAAGTCGATCTAAGACAACCAAATCATATGCACAATCAAGCAATTGCAAATGACAAAGATTACCAATATCTGGTAACTCTTTCAACTCATTGCAATTTTGTTAGAGATCGTAGTTGACATAAACTATTGATGGAAGAAGGCAGTGCTCTAATACAAGCATGGCTCAGATTCACAACTTTTCGAGCTGAAAATGCAAAAAAAGAGATATTTAGGCAACATACCTCACTTGATTTATTCTATTCCAGCTCAACAATTTTTGCCTCAAGTGATGATTTTTCACTCAAATGCCTCTTTTTTGTTTCTTCTGCGGTACGCAACATAGAACGAGCTTTCAACTCTTCATGGATCTTTTCAAAGACCTGCAATTAGTGAAGTCACATGAGTTTCTGCTTTATGGATACTAATATGGACAAAATATAAAGGCCAAATAATATTTTATAGCTTTACCTGATTATTTGCGTCAACCAACTCTTTCGGAATAGTTTTCTTTGAACCTTGAGAACTCAACTTTGGAAGCCGCATCTCTATGCTTCGCTTCTCTGATAGGGCAGCCTATAAGGAATGGAGTAGTAAAATGAATGATTGTCCCCTTAATAAATCAAATTTAATAACATTAAAAAAATACCTTAAGCTCTACATCTTTTTCATTGCACAATGAACTGAATTTATCACAATCATAAATAGCCATTTCTAAGTTTTGCTTCTCAAAAGTCAAGATATCTTTCAAGTTATCAAATTCTTTTTGCATCTGTGATTCTTGGTTTTGCTTTCCATGTAAATCTTCCTGCAGCTGTTCATCAATACAAAGATTATAAGCTTGAAGTAAACATATATCTAAAATATATTTATTACATATTGTGTTTTTTTTGTTGTAATTAAAATGATAGATGGATATGCATAGAGATACAACTGACACAAGGAGATGAAAAAACTATTCCAATAATAATATAGGAAGTCAATGTTAACAATAAAGAACAATCTCTATTTTCATCTAATTACCAGCAACATATACTTGTAAACAAAAACAAATTTTCAGCAACATATACTATTTTCATCTAATTACCAGATGTGATGCTCGAACTAACAACATATGTTTTGAGATCAATGGGCAATACCTGACAATAGCACTAGTTCAACATGTAATAATAATAGTAATTAGAGTTTGCTTACCTAGAGAGGCAGGAGGACTAAATATCCTAGATGCAGCCTATTGGAACAAGATAGCTATATGCAAGTTGCTATGAAATTTGTGCTGTAAAAAAAGATAAGTTATGGGTCAAGCGGGTCCACTTATATTACATAAAAGGCAATTCTATCTGGAAATGCACGCCAAAACAGGCTTCATAGGTGGTGCAAAAGATTTTTCAAGAAAAGAAGTATCTGGAGGAAGCGGACATAATGGAGGTGGAGCTTGCAGCAATGGATACATTTTCCATTAAAAAGATGTATGTGTGATTGAGAGGTAATTTCCATGTAGTAGAGTGGTGGAAACTGATTCACAATAACAAGGGTTCCCCAAAAAGTAATTAGGAAAATAATCCAAGAAGTCGTGTTCAGAGAATCATATCAAGCACGCCTACCAGCAGCCAATTAAAGTCTAACGTTTTACCCTTGAGAATAGAAAAAATAGATATGAGACATTTACTTACCCAATTGTTATTCATCAGACTAGCAGAACTTGTCTCTTTTGAATTAGTTGAAGTTGTAATGATATTGAAAATCGAAGCAGGAAGGCCATTCTGTTAAATATGGTACAAATTGTTATCTCCTGTATTCAGATTAGCAAACCAGAAATAATAAAAGATGAAAAGAAAAACACAAAGAACTATCTGAGTCAATAGAACTCACTGTGTGTCCTTAAGAAATTTAATCCCCTCAAGTATTCGAGGTTGTAGATTAATTCCTCCCAAGATAAAACAGATTAACCATTAAAGAAGTAGAGGTACCTCCAACTTCGATAATTTCAACGAACTCAAAATGACAGCAACGAATCACACACACAGACACGATCGATCGATATTAATTTGTAAGAAATGTATGCAAAAGAAGGGAAGAATTCAATGCAAAAAAATGAGAGAAAACCTCTCTATTTATAGCCAACAAAGGGTAAAGGTCACAACCCTTTGGGAAGAAGACAACCTTTCAGAAAGAAGACAACCTTTCAGAAAGGTCACAACACTTGGGAAAAGGCATAACCTTTCAAACGGTCACAATCCTTTAGAAAGGACACAACCTTTCATAAAGTTCACAACCCTTCGGATAGTCACAACTCTTCAGGAGAGTCACAACCCTTCATTTCCTGTTCACACCTTTAAAACCCAACAATCCCCCACATGAATAGGGAATGGCTAT